ACAGTTTAGTCATGTCACACGCAGCGTGATGGATGGCACTGAAGTGGCAAGCCTGTCAAATCTGAAAATACCAAATGTGACAAGCTGTGGAAGGGAGGTTTAAGGATTTAACATCAAAGCTGGGGCATCCATCTGTGCAAAACTACAAAGAACGGAAACTGCAAGAGAAAACTGATGCAGTTTGGATCGGCTCTGCCTGTACGTGCAGGAACTGCAGTATAAATGAAAAAGTGTAGTTTCTTAGACAGTAATGTGCTGTTTGCAAAATGACTGTACAATTATGGAGAATGGAAGACTGCACCACATGCACAGGACTGAAAACAGAAATCTAACATGTGATTACACGCCCAGGCTGAGAGAGTGAAAAGTATAAATATGTGAGTGACTGTGTGTTCATATTACACATACAGACCATGCATGTACTCATTGTACTATGCTCTCTTAACTCTGTTACTGTTGTCAGCTGCTTGCCTCTCAGTAACCCAGCTTCATTCTCTCTCTCTTATTGACCCTCCCTCCCTCTCTGAGTGTGTTGTAACTCTAGCGTCTGCGGGGGACCTTCTGTTCTTCATTTAGAGCCACAGAAACACTGCTCTCTGCTGAAAACTTATACCTGGAGGAGCCCGCTAGTCTAAACAGCAAATGCGCCGCCTGTAAATTACAACTTCATACGCCGAGCACGACTCAACATTTTATCATTTTAATTAGACCCATTACTCTAAGTGACATACTGTAAAGTGTATTGCCCCTCTGCACGGGTGGATTAACAAATTAAAAAGAATACTGCACTTCCATCAGCCCTCATAAAATATTTACTTTGTTGTTTTTTGTGTGAGTGAGACTGCAAATACAGATATTGTTTGTGTGTTGCAGCAGGATTCTGGTGTAAAGCGGCTGACTACATAGGGAATCGAGACATGTCATGTTCACTTCATGTTCCCGAAGTGATTTTTTGGCAATAATACAGGATGAGAGGAAAAAAAGGAAGTAGTTGTTTCAGAGAAAACAATAAAAGAAAGTGCACAGGCCTTTTTTGGCTCCGCTGAGTTCTCACAAAGACTGCATGAAAGGTCTTTAACACAAATGTTACGAGCAAAGCCCTCATTCACGTCACACTCACATAACAAAGCTCAAGGGGCAGAGATCATAGATATACTGAGACCGAAGAATGGCGCATTGTTAGCTATTTCGTACTTAACTGTGCAGGAGGGAGAGGGACAAACAGCAGAAGATGGACGGTGGTAGATACACACAGAGAGAAAGAGAGAACATTGCGATCTCGGAAGTCACTTTGTCAACCAGGTTGGCAGGACACCAGAGCTTTAGTGGCTTTAGTTCCCAAACCGACAAGAGCTCTGAGCATGCTCCAGCTCTCCATCTCCTTTTCTTTTGGTCTTCTAACCACATCTTATTGGACTCAACTAGACACGAACTGCTGCTCTTCTCATCTTTCACTCATCAGCTCAGAGCCTTTCTAAGAACAATCCCTGTATTGTGTCTTAAAAGTCAGCTTGTTGTTTGTCCTTCCGCCTCACTTCACACTAATACTCTCCTCACCTTTTTCCCCACTGCTAACCCATATAATGGACAGCCCCACTCCTCTCACGCACACATGCTTGCAACCCAATTACTGTACACAATCCTACGGTGACTTACGTCACCTCTACATGTTTGGAGGCCCCGGCCGAGGCCCCTTTCACAGTCAGAATGACTCTATGTATTTTTGCTGAGCGGCTGGTGGTGGATGTTTATGTTGGAAGTCATCTGGTGATAGGGAACCTGCGTGATGTTTATATTTTCCTTCCTACTGGGCCCCTTGGGTTCACATTGTGTCACCAGACATTTTCACTTTCTCTCAGGGACCCCCATGCTGCAGTCCCGAAATCTGAATGTTTCAAACAGCCCTGCTTTATTTCCAGTCACTCCACCAAAGGCTCCTCCTGTAAGCCCCATACTTAGACCAGAGACAGGGGTTAATCCCTTTATTCATTTTCTCAAAAGTACCATTTAAATACATTATACTTGTATGAAAAGACAGCGTAAAACCTATGTTTTGAGCAGATCTGGGTTCCACCGTAATCTATTATCCTTTTACACTTCCACAAGGATTTTACATAATGATTATTTCCATTACTGTGTAAATTACACTTCTGCTTTAATACATAGAAAAACATTACAGTCATTTCCCTAATCAAAGGTGAGATGTCAAAGATAAAGATGGGTTTGGGGATGATAAAATGGTAGTGATAATGATACTGACTGACTAAGCAAACTACATGACACAGAAAAAAACCCCAGAAATGAACGAGTAGCTGTATGTAATGATGATGCACAGGTGTATATTGTGGGTATGTATCTGTCCCAACACATTCTTACTCCCAAAACAGCAAATACAGATGCTTGGACAGTGGCCCTGGTCAGTTTATGCTTATTACATGCATGATATCTTTCCAAAATAAACTTCTGTTTTTATAGGAAATGTACAGTTTCTGCTCATTAAATGCACACAGTTGCTTTTTAAAAATAAACTTAGAAAGTAGGGAAAAAAATAGGTTTGCTTCCTCAGGTTAAGGCCCTGATCACACAGAAAATGTTTTCGCAACTGGAGGCAGCTTTTTGTAATTGATTTTAATGAGAATTAAGCTTTTTGCTTGTTTTTTTTTTTTTTGTTTTTTTTTGCAGCACTCTAAGCACCTAGTGTTTTTGCTGGAGCAGTCTGAACTCCTGGAGTTCTCCGAGCAGAAAAACTCCCCAAGTCATTTCTTTTTTTTCGTCATGGTCAGGACAACAAGTTTACAGTTGGTAAACAATGGAGGAGAAATTGGTGGTTGCTGGATTTCCAGAGCTATACTGCCCGATGATAGACAGCAGGTTGTTAAACTGCCCCCCAGTCACCCTAAAATATGCCTGGAAATGGCCATCGTTGAGGAGAAGCTCCTGGACCAACTGGTGGTACTCCCCATGATCCACCCTCTTTTTTAGGGTCTATGTACCCACACAGATCTCTGTTTCCCTGTGCCCAACAAACTATTTGCTGACAGCCTCCCACCCTCAACCAGAGGTAGAGCAAGTACCCTCCGCCTGTCCATTTTAGTAACTAGATACTTTTTACTGGGGAAAAAATTGTTTGCAACCTGCAAAATGCTTTCTGTGTGATCGGGCCTTAGGCTTGTCACATACATCACCTGCATTGTATGCTACACACACTTAACTTAATTGGCTTTTGGTTTCACATGTGACACAGGAAAGACCAGAGTTTGTTTGCCCCATCCACCGCCCCTCCTGCCCACCACCGCTATAGGGTGCCTCAGTGCATCAATATCTGACGCCAGGGGCCACTGACCTAGCATAGGTATTTGATGAGTTGAGAGTTAGATCTGGTTGATGTATGTCTCCATGTACAGTACAGGCCAAAAGTTTGGACACACCTTCTCATTCAATGCATTTTCTTTATTTTCATGACTATTTACATTGTAGATTCTCACTGAAGGCATCAAAACTATGAATGAACACATGTGGAGTTATGTACTTAACAAAAAAAGGTGAAATAACTGAAAAACATGTTTTATATTCTAGTTTCTTCAAAATAGCCACCCTTTGCTCTGATTACTGCTTTGCACACTCTTGGCATTCTCTCCATGAGCTTCAAGAGGTAGTCACCTGAAATGGTTTCCACTTCACAGGTGTGCCTTATCAGGGTTAATTAGTGGAATTTCTTGCTTTATCAATGGGGTTGGGACCATCAGTTGTGTTGTGCAGAAGTCAGGTTAATACACAGCCGACAGCCCTATTGGACAACTGTTAAAATTCATATTATGGCAAGAACCAATCAGCTAACTAAAGAAAAACGAGTGGCCATCATTACTTTAAGAAATGAAGGTCAGTCAGTCCGGAAAATTGCAAAAACTTTAAATGTGTCCCCAAGTGGAGTCGCAAAAACCATCAAGCGCTACAACGAAACTGGCACACATGAGGACCGACCCAGGAAAGGAAGACCAAGAGTCACCTCTGCTTCTGAGGATAAGTTCATCCGAGTCACCAGCCTCAGAAATCGCAAGTTAACAGCAGCTCAGATCAGAGACCAGATGAATGCCACACAGAGTTCTAGCAGCAGACCCATCTCTAGAACAACTGTTAAGAGGAGACTGCGCCAATCAGGCCTTCATGGTCAAATAGCTGCTAGGAAACCACTGCTAAGGAGAGGCAACAAGCAGAAGAGATTTGTTTGGGCCAAGAAACACAAGGAATGGACATTAGACCAGTGGAAATCTGTGCTTTGGTCTGATGAGTCCAAATTTGAGATCTTTGGTTCCAACCGCCGTGTCTTTGTGAGACGCAGAAAAGGTGAACGGATGGATTCCACATGCCTGCTTCCCACTGTGAAGCATGGAGGAGGAGGTGTGATGGTGTGGGGGTGTTTTGCTGGTGACACTGTTGGGGATTTATTCAAAATTGAAGGCACACTGAACCAGCATGGCTACCACAGCATCCTGCAGCGACATGCCATCCCATCCGGTTTGCATTTAGTTGGACGATCATTTATTTTTCAACAGGACAATGACCCCAAACACACCTCCAGGCTGTGTAAGGGCTATTTGACCAAGAAGGAGAGTGATGGAGTGCTGCGGCAGATGACCTGGCCTCCACAGTCACCGGACCTGAACCCAATCGAGATGGTTTGGGGTGAGCTGGACCGCAGAGTGAAGGCAAAGGGGCCAACAAGTGCTAAACACCTCTGGGAACTCCTTCAAGACTGTTGGAAAACCATTTCAGGTGACTACCTCTTGAAGCTCATGGAGAGAATGCCAAGAGTGTGCAAAGCAGTAATCAGAGCAAAGGGTGGCTATTTTGAAGAAACTAGAATATAAAACATGTTTTCAGTTATTTCACCTTTTTTTGTTAAGTACATAACTCCACATGTGTTCATTCATAGTTTTGATGCCTTCAGTGAGAATCTACAATGTAAATAGTCATGAAAATAAAGAAAACGCATTGAATGAGAAGGTGTGTCCAAACTTTTGGCCTGTACTGTATGTCCGTCCCACTGTGTGGTCTATTGGTCTTATGAATGCCCCTGTTGTGGATAGAGGACCAGTCCCTGAGCATTAGTGAGACAGGAGAAGGCGTTAGGGGGAATCCTCTCCACCTCCAGCAGATTATTTTCCAAGTGGATCGAAGCCAAGGTGGAGCCAGAGTTACGAGGGTGGCACACTCCCCACTCTCTCACCAGCCTGCAACCACAACATATATGCACTTAAATTTAGACATACTGCATCTCAAGTCTGCACTTTCCTCTCACAAGTGCTGATTTGTTAGTTCCCCCATATGCACAAAGAAGTGCATTGAGCGGCACAAGTGCTTAGGTCACCAGTGTTGCTGTGTCAGAGGGAGCACAGAGTCTGGTACAGTTCACAGACAGTAAGAAGAAACTGCAGTGGCAACAATAGTCATTGTCTTCATCTTCATGCTGATGGACTGTTGCTGAAATGTCAGTTTGAATATATTTATTTGCACAAGGCACCGCATGTGCCACAATATCCTTCTTTGATTCTGTGCCAAGCTCCTTAGAGTTATTTCCAAAGGGAGCTGCACTGGCGGAGCTAATGGTATTAGGACAGGATCAGGTAACGAGCAAGCAAGCATTTAGCTAATCCCTGCATTATTAAAATCACATTTGACTCTTAAAAATTTATGAAAAGCGCAATTCTACCTGATCCAGTTGTTGTCCAGTCTCAGCACCTGCAGATTCTTAAACTGTCGAACGCAGCGAGGGACCTCCTCCAGACGATTGTTGTCCAATAGGAGTTCTGTCAGCGAGCGGTACAATCCAACAAAAGAGACTCGTTCTATACCCTCATTGCTCAAGGCATTGTGGGACAGACGGAGGGACTGTAGGCTGGACTGCATGTGACGGAACGTGAAGGTGGCGATACGACCGATGTTGTTGTGTTGGAGGCTCAGTTTGTGGAGATGGCGAGGCAGGTTCATTGGGACAGAGGTGAACCTGTTGTGGGACAGGTCCAGTGCCTCCAGGGATCTGAGATGAAACACAGAGAGGAATCATGAATCCCAGTCAGATATCCACAAGAGGACCTTCGAATGAAAAATCTACTTCTAGATATTTTTAGGTGTGCTAGCTGCATGGCTCTATGGATGGCAATGCTGATCTCTACCACCTTGGTACACGCTGAAGTGTCTTAGCAACTATAAGACGGATTGTCATGACATTTTCGGCAGATGTTCATGGTCCCCAGAAGATCTATCCTACTGACTTTCCTAAAGCACCACCAGCAGGTTAATGTTTTCATTTATCCAGTGAAATATATCAACATCTACTGCACTGGCACAAAATGGTTCAGACATTTATTGTTCCCTGACACATGGATGGATTACTGAACGGGCCTACTAGGCACAGACCCAGGTGCCCAGAGTGTCAGGGCCTCCTTGGGCTTCAGCTGACAAATGTCACTTAAATTAAAATGATCACAAAGAGACACAAAATGACTACAAAAAGATGCAAAACAACAACAAAAAAGGCAAAACCATCACAGAGTCTGTTGTCTTGCTACTACATTAGAGAGGTGGTGGGGCCTTTTGCAAATCTGTGCCCAGGGGCCCATTTTCTAATAATCCACCCATGCCTAGATGATGCATCTTAAAGACTTTGATGATCCTCCAACTATTACTTTAGTGTCACCCTGAGGTTGACTTTGGTTTTGAGTGAAATGTCTCAACAACTATTGGATGCATTGCCATGACATTTGGTACACGCATCCATGTCCCCTTCACAATGAGTTTTAACACCTTTGGTGATCCCTTAACTTTTCACCTCGCACTGTAATCAGGTAATAATTTCACTTTGTCCAACATTTGCTTATGACAAAAAACTTGATCACTGATAACATTCCCACCGGCCTCAACTTTACTTTGTGTTTAGTGCTAACAGATGTTAGCATGCCAACATACTAAAGTAAGATGAACCTGCTTAACACCAGCACGTTGGCATGTTTTACAGGGCTCTGTATTAGATATAATAATGGATGCCCACTTCCAGTCCGATTCCAAGGCTTTTAACTGCAGACTTCATGTTTTATAGTTACTGGACTCCTGCATAGCGCTGTTGGGGAGGCAGGGAATCAGGAGTGCAGAGTGGGAGGCTGCGCTGTGGGGAGCAGCAGGAGAGAAACTAATGGGGCCTGGTTGGAGGGGGCAATGTAACAGAGCATGGCAGTCTGAGGGGGGAACTTGTGGCAGAATGGTGGATAAGGGGTATGAAAATGTTTGGTTTGTGGGAAAGAGAAAGAACGGCCATAGACGAAGGACCAGATTTAAAGGGGTCTAAGGTGAAGATGTAGCACAGGGGTTCAGTGTTTTTGTAGGAAGATCCAACACAGCTGTTGTGAGTTTACAGCACAGTTCACCGCAGGAGAGGAACCTCATTTCCTGTTTTTCCGCCATTCGTAGACCACACTGAACAGCCAATGGTCTCAGAACTCCCTAAGGTGGACAGCCAATGACCACACAGTGAAGTGAAGTGGGGACCAATGAGGGGAGACAGAGTGAATGTTGGAGACATTTGGGCTGGCATCTGTCTGACTGATATTCGGTGCCGTAGCACTTATGTTCCTCGTAAAGGTGACTTACAGTAAGACCCTTGCATGAACTCACCTCCCTTGAACTTTACAACCCCCAGGTTACATTAATCATGGGTGTTTTGTGTGTGGGGTTGTATTTCCATGAGACAGATGATGTGTGACAATGAGAGGGGGTGAAAATCTCCCAAATCAATCAAAACCTTGGTACATTGAGCAACTTCTGATCATTTGTCTGCATCACAGGAAAGGTCAGAATTAGCATGAGGCCTTCCTCCCTCGGTTTGGTAAAACAAGGTCCACCATAGACTTCAGGAGACCTCAGTTTGGTTTCATGCCTCTCTGCTTAACAGAGGTGCAATAAAACATCATTAATACAACTATAAATGTTTTACTGAAAACAAAGTTAAGACAGGGGAGGGAGCACAATGACATATTGAACTTAAAACACATGAACCAACACTCATGGAACACACAGCAGGGTTTTGTTTAACCTATACGTATTGTGGCAGTTATGGATTGCTGTGAAAATGTGGTTTCTGCAAGAAATTTAGACCCTCAAAATGTATTGCTCTATCAGCTTCTCAGCACCAGTTTAGACCAGTTGTTCGCTGCTGATTTGTATTCTTAATCTTTGCCAGGAAGCTCAGCAGCAGTCCACCACTGCGCTCCACGTGGTATTAATGAGCAGAGGGACACACAGTCCTCTCTTCTCAGAGTCCTCCAACCTCAACACTCCCACCCACTGGCACCTACACACATGCACACATTACCAAACATGATGTAAGGAAGAAACACTAACGCACACACACACACAAATAAACTTATCCAGAGATGCGCCAAGATGATGTTTACAAAAAAAAGCTAATTCACAAATAGCTAACGTTAAATTCAAACAAATAGGCACACATCTTTCAAAGATTAATTCATTACTTCATTTCTTAAACATTTATAGGGAGCCACACAGCAATTACACAAAACCAAATGTGTTTGTGCGCACAAATTTGTGTGTGTGTCCATGTTTTTGTGCAAAGCATGGCCAGGAGTAGTCATGCTGATGGTCTGCTCATCCTCAGGGCATTGGGTTCTAATGAGAACCAGCACACAGGGGATTGTCGGTAGGTACAGAAGCACAACCACAGCACTTATACACACAGTTCCATCTGTACCGAGGCCACTGCGCCAACACCACACAGGCTGGCCTATGTACTTTGGCAACCTGACCAGGATAAGTATGTAGCCAGGTAGAGCAGCTGTGCCAAGGAGGCTAGATGGAACAAGACTGACTGAAATGATGGATGGATGATAGCTGGCCTCATCTTCAGCTACATCAGGTCATGATGGAGCAGACTTCTGTGAGCACTTAATTATGAAAACACTGGTAAGCTGATATCTGGAGTATTTCTGGTCATTTGTCACATCTGTTGAAAGCACACATAAAGGGATGATGTGTATGTGTAAATGAGTGATGGTAAACTCCCCTCCATCTTACCTGCACCCAGAACTCCCTGCTCATCTCTCTTTTCACTTTGATTTTCACTGGCTCTAAGGCTGTTGCTTGAACTACAGATCGTGCTTCCACATTTTCATATACCCGCCACAAAGGACAAATACTGAGATCAAACGTAAAACTAAACAGAGATGACCAAATTTGAACCAAGGTTCCGTTACTGTGTTGCCTATTTCTTGCCTCAAATGCTTTCAGAAACATATTTTAGCTCACTAAATACTTCTGCAGCTCCTGAGTCCAAGACGAATTTCCCTCCAGGGACAATATCATATTGTATCGTTACATACTGCATCGTATCGTATCGTATTGTATTGTATTGTATCGTATTGTATCACTGTTTAATTGTAATGGGAAATGGCATGTTAGGAGCTGGCCACCATTTTGTTTGCTATGACAAAATGGCCAAGCTCATGGCCAGCGGGACTGTGTATTGGTCGAATTCGGCACAGTGCATTCTCTTCTCTCCTCTTAAACAAAAGCGAATGCTACAGCCCTTTTTCTCTGTTGTCTCTGGTCATGTAGTATCAATATCAAAAGTATTTGTGTCTTTCTACTGCACAGACAACAGCCCAGTTTTATGGAAAGGCCATGTTTCTTTATACACAGAATATGATTCAGTAATCTACTGCAGTGGCATCCATTGTAATATGCATGTGTGGTGTACATACTTTTCATCCATTCCAAATATATTGTTTTTGAAACAGAAGAGAAAACCTTTAAATCAAAATCGAAGATCCCTTAAATTAAACTCAGAGGTTTTCACTTGACATCAGCGTGATGCCTCTGCAGAGCTGGTGTGTTTTTGTGGGGTGCTGTGTGTGTGTGTGCGGCTTGTTTTCCCATTTATGTAAGCTTATTACGAAACCAATTTGTGCTAGTCCGAAGATAAAAGAGCTTTCGTTACGAGTCCTATCACGCTCACAACATAACATCACACACACACACACACACACACACACACACACACACACACACACACACACACACATCTTTGGTGTGATGATCACTGAACCGGTGCCTACATGCAGTCAGCCTCAGCCAACAGCGACAATAAATCTATGCAGAGGTCCTCTCCAACGACAGGCTCTGTCAAAATGACCCAACTAACGAAAACCAAATAGACAAAAAAAAAAAAAAAAAAAAAACTCGTTCTGTTTCAACGCGAATCACATTCAATCAGACACAACTCTCGTGTCACTTATTAACTGGGACTGCTAGGGTAGTTTTACTGGATGATTTTTAAGCTGCTGACGCATTTACAAGGCTGTTATTTTAAGCTGCAGAACACCATGTCTTATTAGGTAATTTAAGCAGAAAGTCCACATTACGACTGTTTTCCCAATAAAAATGTTTGACAGTATAAATTAAAAACCTGCAGTTGAAAACATTTTTCCCATGAAATATCATTTTTGGAATGAGTGATGTTTATGCAGCTTTAATCAGCGGGGGGTATTTTAATACAAGCTCTGGTTCTGTCAGTGAACATGTGGAGCTGGAGTCAGGTCTGTTGGCTGACAGCAGTGATGTGATCTCTGGTTAGTTTTTGATTGACTGGATGAGTTATTTAAAATGACAGGCTCATAAAGAGCCCGGAGAAGATGGTGGTAAGGGGTTAGATAAAATAAAACACTATGTAGCCTACACCTTTTACTCATAGAAATACTGTAAGTCCATGATTGATAGTTCCTCAGGATAACTGAAATACACATGGTGTATAGTATATTGTTTGTAAAGATAGAGAACTATCCTATAAATATTATTAAAATAAATAAATAATTAAAATAAGATATAGGACTGCACAGTTGATCAAAATATTATTGAAATCACAATATGGTAAACTCCAATATCCAAATCGCAGGAGCTGAAATTTTTGGTTGCAGGCTTCGATGGACACAATCTACTCATACGGCCCAGAGAGCAGGTCTCCCAGCAGGGTGGAGAATAATTTGGCCATGAAGTATCCTGCGTCTTTCCCCTCCATATTTTCTTTTAGTCCCAATACTCTGAGATTTTGGCATTTGGTACGGAATTCCAAATCTTCCACTTTAGCTTTGAGTATCATATTCTCCTCTATCGCTGATCTGAGGTCAGACTGAAGCCCACTCACATCAAGTTCAAGCTGCGCTATCCTGTCATTGTGGTCTGTTGGGCTGGTCTCCATCTCTCTGATAGTGGAAGCTTGAGTTGCCAAAGTTGCTGAAATGATTCAACTGAGGACCGAATTGGTTCTAAGGAACTAACTGTGGGTTCGCTGGTCATACTTTCCCTCAGTTTTTCAAGCTCTTCCACAAGCTTTTCATTGTTAGCGGTGCTGCAGTGTTAACCGCCATGTTGCTACAAACATTAGCACTCTGGTGCTGGACTTGATTTGTTGTCTTTCTACCGACCTTTGCTACTCTACTCATTTCGCCTCTCAAGTACAGTAATTGCTTCAATATGAGGACATATATGATGATACATTTTACTTTACAAAAAGAAATGCTGAAATGATATGGAGCTCTGACAAAGTGCGCCTTAACACTACATTGCGTAACCGGAAGTCTCCGGAGCTGAAATTTTCAATATCATCCCCCTGCAGAGCCAAAGAGCCGCCATTTTAGACGTGCGCATGGGCGAGTTTCAAAGCCACCGTTTCAGAACAACAGTGAATCATAGTTGTTTCTGGCTGCCAGTATAGTGCAGCTAGCAAACTAGCGCTAGTGCACCCCTTAGGTAGCGCAGCTGGCACACTAGCTAAGTTAGCTGAAAAGTTGTCTATATCGACTTCAAAATGTTGATTAAAGAAACGTTACCATCTGTTTATACTTTGTTCCGGGTTAATGTTAAAATGGATGGTCCGGAGGGTCAAGCCCGCCTGTCTAGAGGGTAGAGGCACAAAAGTAGGGCTGAGAGCAGGTCGCATATCATATTTTTCCCTGGGACTTTCATTCCCATGTCCTCCAGATGGCCAGTCTTGTTCCTCTGGATCATCCATTTTAGCACTAATCCAGTCAAAGTATCAACAGATGGCAACATTTCTAATCGACATTTTAAAATGGAAAAAGACAACTTTAAAGATAGCTCACGCTGGCAGCCAGAAACAAGTATCTATAATCCATTGTCCGTTTGATAATCTAAACAAAGAGCGTGTTTCCTTAGAGTGGTCCTCCTAAAATGAACTGTGGTGAAAGTTGCTTTATTCTCTATTGATCCATGATTAAGCAGACAGCGTTAGCTAGTTCAGCTGACAGCGTTAGCTTGTGAGCTAGTGCACTAGGTAGTAGAAAAGTTTTCTATTTCTGCTTTAAACAAGCATTTGTGATCGCAATGCTAACATTATTTTTACAATAATGATAAATATGTATATAGCAATCTCCAAATGTTTAAATTGCTCTGGCTCTGAAACTTGCACATGCGCATGTCTAAAACTGTGGCTCTCCAGCTTTGCCGGGGGATGTTTCTTGAAATGTTTGCTAAATAAATGAAGCACTGTAGTGCTACAGAGATGGTCCAGCCTATCATATTCCAGACTAAAGGGAACATGCTTGTTTGCTGCAAAAATCACATAATGTTTTTTATTTTTCCAATGTAAAAAATTAAGTGTAAAAATTTTCATTTGCAATTGCAATATCTGTCAAAAATGGTCACGTTCAATGTTGTTTTTTGCATACCTGGGGGCCCTCACATATATTGTATATAATTCATTGTAAATCTTTCTACGTAAAATCATAAAAACAAAGTAACTAGTAACTAAAGTTGAAGTGGGATAAAATGTACAGTACCTAAATAATTTAAAGTATAAAGAACCAATGGTAATATGCAAGTACAAGAAGCTAAAAACTGTTCTGAAGCACATAACTTGAGTATAACATACACCACTGGTTGTATATGTGTATGGTTATATGATGGTCACACATTAGCATTTTGTTTACTGAGTTGTTGTTTTTTTTTTTTTTTAAAGAATTCTGGAAAACAGAAAATACAATCACCTATAACATTAGGTTATAAGACATGTATCTAAACACAGCACTGACCATAGATCTGATATTATCAAGGTAGATGGCGAGGTGAGAGGCTGGCGGTCGGCCCGGTCTGCCTGAGACTGATCCCAGGTCCAAACAGAACTCCCCAGCTCCCTGTAACCTCCTGCATTTTCCGCTCATACCTCCAACCCCTGAACCCCAGCAGGAGGTAACAATAATACTGACTCCGCGACACAGAACAGAGGTGCTCCACTAACCAGAACCAGCACACTGCAGTTTATTTTAACATTAAGCAATTTACTTTTCATTCTGCTTCAGCCCCTCTCTGCCTGTTTCTCCACACACCTCTGCAGAGCTACATGACGAGTACATTTCTCCACAATGTGGATTTGATTATGATAGGTCTACAGAGTGACATATAATCCAACCACAGTGAGGAGTCTTGTTTTACACCACTCAGGTTTCACTAGTGACCTTTGCCCTTTGAGGCATCATCTCCTGCAGTGTTAGCGGAGTTCAGGTCAAGTTGAGGTTCTTACTCTCTTGTCTGTGCTGTGCTGAAGGAAGTATTTAAAATAGGACCAGCTAATAAGCCTGCAGCACCAATGGGAAGACCACTGCTCTTGTCACTAATGAGGTCAAGTGTCAGATGTCAAATACATTTGAGTAAGAAGTCAAGTGAAGGCTCAGAGTGCTGCCTAGTTGAATTTTCTCTCCCTTTCTTCATATCATCTCTCATCCCTCTTTTGTGCTTTTACTGTCTCCATTTACTAATAAAGGATTTCTTTTTTTAAGTCAGCCTTCTCCTGATTATATATCATCCCAATTTAATATTTCTATTTCCTCTTTCTTAAAAACCATTTAGTCATACAGTAAAATCCAAAGTCTTGTCAACTGCACTTTCCCGTCTCTCTTTCTTTAGCATTTTTTTCTCTCCACAGTTTTCCCTGAAGCTCCCACTGTGGTTCACAAGGATCCCAGGGAGCAAAGAAAAACCCGCTGGAATTCACTATATTTAAACAACAGACACACACACACACACACACACACACACACACACACACACACACACACACCACACCACCACCACCCCCATAGACCCATTGAGACATACTGTACTACATCCACAAACAGACACATACAGGCACACAGTTGCCCTCAGGCTCTCACTCACACGCCTGCTCATCTAAGTACACAAGGTCAGCTGTCTTCACTCCTGTGATATGTGTGCACGCTTGGTGTTTGTGTGCGTGAGCGTGTGTCTGTGAGAGAAGAAAATAGAAAATGAATGTGTCTGTCTCCATGTGAACCAGTCAAAACATCAGCCAAAGACACTGAAATCTAACGAACTGAAATGGATTGTGTGTGAGTGAGATTATGGTTATTTCTGGGTGTGAAACAGAGCGTCATCCTCGTCTACTGACAGTTAAGATAGAAATAGTAATCTGATCTATCAGAGATCATCTTGTCATGGTTGTGTGTTATTTTAAATCTTTTAAGTGTCACAACTATCAGCTGATAACAGATTAAACATCAAAAATGATAACAAAAGAATTCACATTTGAAAACACCAGTCTACCCTCTTGTGGCTGGTGGAGGCACTGCAGGACATTATTATTTTAAAATCAATAGTGATGGATGGATGGATGGATGGATGGACATACTTGAGATGGCTCCAGGTGTTGGTAGCGATGCTTTGCTCATGCAGCAGGTTGTGACTCAGGTCCAGCACTCTCAAATGGACGCAGCCCCTCAGTGCCTCCTCTGTCACCTCCTCAAGAAGATTTTTACTCATCTCCAGCTCCTACACAAAAAAGAAGACAAAGACAAACATCAGTGTGCCATTTGGAGTGTCAATTCTTGTCCCCATGCCAGTGTGTGGCTTTCTGGAGTGACCCTGAGTACAATGCTGGATCCCAGCTGGCTCCTTTAGCTGATCCTAACATTTTAAAGGTCCAGTGTGTAGGATTTAGTGGCACCTAGTGGTGAGGTTGCAAAACTGAGCCTTCTCCTGTGTGCCAAGCATGTAGAGAACTACTGTGGCTGATGCAAAAATGTAGATGGCCCTATCTAGAGCCAGTGTTTCATTTGTACGTTCTGAGCGGCTATGGAACAACATGGCGGACTCCATGAGAGAGGGCCTGCTCCTTATGTAAACAGCTCATTCTAAGGTAACAAAAACACGATTCTTATTTTTAAGGGATCATAAACTAATACAAACATAATTCTGAATATTATATACCAATTCTCCTGATACCTTGTTTGCAATCATGTGACTATATGATGTGCGAAATTAAAATGAAGGGCAATAAGTGAATTTTCTGCTTGAACTGGAAATGTAGGACTGTGACTACATAAATGAGTTTGATCAATCTACAGGTATCATCAGAAAATTAAAACTCATGTTGGATGTGATCTATATAAAATGAAGGAAAAGTGATTTTTCCCTCAACTTGAATGACTTGACCGGTGTGGACACTATCGTCGGTACAAATTACCTCATCCTCCAGACCTCCTAACATTACTAATGTTGCACAGCCAACCAATGAAAGCATACAAGAGTCTAGAGGACTGTAACAAATTTGTGTGCAGTTGGGTCCTCGACTGAAATGAGCCTTGTCTTGTTTTTGGCCAGGAGAGAAAATGTGCATGAGTTTAACTGTCTTTTTATATTTCATCCCTAATGTGGATGCACTGCTGTCAAGCTATCATTACTAGTTAACGTTTGCTAGCAACTACTTTCTACCTACTAGGGTTAACCGTTCCCAGAGGTCTGGTGAAACGCCGTTAAAAATCTGGGTTGTGGCTAAAAACATGTAGAAGTTGTCACAGCACATTGCAATTACATCCAATTCGAGGCATGTTTAAAACAATGCTTTAACCATTTACATTTGACATTAGTTGACTCGGTTCCTCCCAGACTAAAGACGGAGGTTTATGTTCCTAATCAAATTACTTCTTACTGTTTTCAGGACTTAACGTGGCCCTTGTTTTTTCCCAATTTGATTGATCTGAGCAGCTGTAAACACCACAAATCATAGGCATTTGTGCAATGTTGGTAGTCTTTGCCTCCAGTGGCCTGCCCTCCATGTAGACAGTGCACCAAAGATGCTATAGATGCCCCTTAATCCTACACACTCATCCCGGTCTCACTCTGAAGTTGTCAAATACTGGCGCTTCTGGCACTGGACGCTAACGAAAAAAGCCATTCATTCATGTCCGCATAATACATGGCCCGTCACCATTATTCTATAACTATGGCTGGCGGCGTCAGAGGTAAACACAGCCAGGCAACAGCATAGGTTAAGGGGGCCAAAGTAGAATTAGGGTGGGCAGGAGTGGTGGTTCATGACTCCAATAAGCCATAAGCCAAACCCTGTTCTTTTGTTGCCTAAACCCAACCATGTGCGTGTGTTGCCTAAACATAACCACACGCGTGTGTTGGCTAAACGTAACCACATGCGTTTGTTGTCGAAGGAAAAAAACATCAAGTCACGGTGTTGTACCAACATAGTGCGTTTATTTTTAAAGACACTGTATGCAAACTGTATATTACAGGCTGACAAGGCATCCCAGAACGTCAGCAATCAACGCACCCAGGGTACCTTGCATGTCATACCTTGATGTGGAAAGTCCATGACCAAACATCGATATATGACGAGTTTGGAGTGAGAATGTGTTGACACACTGGACCTTTAAAGAGGATTTTTCCTACAGGGATCAGTACAGTGATAGCAGCGTACCTGAAGCGATGGAGGAAGGCCCAGAGGGAGGAAGCGGAAGCGGTTGTTGCTCAGCTGGAAGTCCACAAGTCTCTCTAGTGGCTTGAAAGCATGTGGTGACACACTGCCCTCATGGAGGATATTCTCCTCCAGCTCCAGCTTCAACAGGTTACTCAAACCTAGAGGAGAAAACTCAGTTACACAACTTTTATACAAGACGTTTCTCTTCCATGTCCACAGACACAAATCCTACCATTGAAACAGCTAGGGGTAAGTGCACTGAGCTTGTTGTTGCTCGTCTTGAGCTCCTCCAAAGATGGTGGCAGGGCCGGGATCCTGGTGAGCATGTTGCCATCTAGGTTCAGCTTCTTCAGAGAGGTCAAGTTCTACATGACACGCAGCAAAACAGAGAGATAAACAGGCCAGAAAGATAAAACAGACAAAATGGATACTTGTCTCGTAATCCATAATTTTCCACCCCAACTTGCTGAGAAGGACACAATCACAGAGTTCACAGAAATACACCAAATCTGTGCATCTCTTCCATGTCATCTATCATGTTGTATTTTTAGTAAAAGCCACTCTGTGTGGCTCCTCAGTGAAAGCCACTGCGGTCGATGTGTGTCAACTAAAAGGAGTGGACTGATTCTTTTGCAGGATCTCTCGAGCCAGTCCATCAGTCCTCTGTCATTACTGGGATGTGAGCAGAAAATGAAGAAGAAAATATATATCTTCCTCCAAAAATAATTTCCTTTTATTCTCCACATCATTGGCTGCATCAGGTCTTTCCAGCCAATACTGTGAGAGTATGCTGATGGTGGCGTGTAATGATTGGTCAGAGTGCGGCGGGCTGCCTCAGTGTGGTCAGGCTCTGTGTTCGGCCTGTGGTCATTTAGAGGTTAGACCAAAGGTTATTCTTAGAAAGGATTAGTTAATGCAATTTTCAGTGCTCTTTTATTACCGTAATGATACAGGATACAGCCTGTGCCTTTATTTTAATTAGATGCAAAGTGACTTATAAAACTGGATTGTAACTTGCAAACTTGCTCACAGGCTGCAGATTTTCCACAAGAGGAAACTTTCTGGGTCAATATCAGACCAATTCTGCACATGCTAACCTACATCACCTACAGGAAAAGAAAATGTTACCAGCTGCAGTGTAGACATGCAGGTGTAGACACACTATATGTCACTGTTGCCACCTGCCAAGGGCGTAGGTTTCGTTTCAACATTGAGGGGACACATACTCAGCAAGGGATCTGGGGCTCCTCCCCCCAGTAAATTCTGAACGTTATTTCCTGCATTCTGGTGAATTTTTATGCACCAATTTGTGCCTTGTCTGCAGCACTTTATGGTGGAAATATCTTTAAAGTTTCCTCTTTTAAGTTTTATGGAAGATGGCGGCGCAAACAGGTGCAGCGGCCCCTCTGGGATCATCAGGTGCAATTACCTGTTCTATTGTTTGTCTCAGACGTCCTCCACGCAAAGCCACTATTTTATATTGTTTTTACTATTTTAACTTGCACTCTGTACATCTTAGGAATGCAGGCTCAGGGATTGTGTTGTGCCCAACTGTGGTTCCCAACTGGTGGGTCGTGGTCCAAAAGTGGGTCACAGGTCCACTCTGAATGGACCCCAAATGTCTCATAAACACTTCAAGTTTGCAAAAGAACACACTTTATTTTAGAGTACAGTTAATTTCCATCACAGAGCTTTTATTCTGAAGTGCCGATTCCTGCTGTAGAGTGACTCATTAATGGACAGCTGCTTGACAAAGGCAGCAAAGTCGCTCAACGACATGGTGAAAAGCAGGTATGATGCTGTCCCCAACATCTCTTACTGTCAAAGGAAGTAATATCTGCTGCAGTTATAATATTCACCACCTGTATTTTTATTTCTATTTACTGTAAGTTCTGTGTGTGTGTGTGTGTGTGTGTGTGTGTGTGTGTGTGTGTGCGTGTGTGTGTGTGTGTGTTGATGTTTTATATTTAACACTTAACATCTATTAGCTTAAATGATTTAACATTATTGTGTCACTCTAACCTCCAGTGGACATTTAACACCCACATATTCAAAACAGAAATGCAATTTAGCTTATACCTCTCAAACATCATATGTAGCTGTAAGGCTTTGTAAATGAATTTAGCATTTATTATCTTTCATTTATCATTATTTATTTATTTATTTATTTATTTTTTATGTTATTATTTTTGTTACTTTTTTATTTTATTATTTATTTATATTGTTTTTATTTATCTATTATTTATCATTTATCATCCTCATCATCTACATAATATAAAGCTTTTTCAGGCACATGACCATCAGACAAGTGAGCATAAGTGGTAGTTGATTTTATTAACACTTCTTTTAATAGTTCAAATATGTAACACCAAATGACTGTAACCCAATTATTTTGTTATCCTTTGGGCTCTGCCTACCCTGTTAGTTTTTTTCTCCTTCGGACAAATAAAGACACGTGATGACACTGAGTACTATTCAAAACAAAAAGCTACAGTTGTAACACACCTTCGCCTGTAGGTAAATCGGACTGTACTGGTACTTCAGGTCTGGAACTGCAGGTTTGAGTTTGCTAGCTCTGCTGCAGTTAGATGATATTGGATAGGATTTGTTTTGGGTGCATCGCATCATTGACAATTGTGAAATTACTATATAACACAAATTTGTTTAGTGCAAGAACAACTATCCCTCAATAGTACCCTATAGTGAGATGTACATTCAAGCATGATTAAACACACAGAGTACAACTTTATGAGTGTGATGCACTTGCAGACGAGTATCAGACTGGACTACAGAGACTGTGAAGGAGTAGAGAGCTGTATTGGTGGGTGTTACTCACAGACAGGGGGTTTTGGCTGAACGACTCATCATCCAGTTGGTTTTTGCTCAGGTCCAGTGTGTCCAGGTTCGGCACACCAGAGAAATCTTGTGGGGTGATGACTGTGATGTTGTTTTCTGTCAAGATGGGATATGGTATGTTATATGATGCAATACTTGGTTCTTTAGCAGGGGGTCAGTGACAGCCATTTGATATGAGTGTGATAAGAGAGTTCCCTTGAGCTTCACTTGACTCTCAGTACACACACACACACACACACACACACACACACATACCTGCCATGTCCAGATTTGTGGCCAGCAGGTTGTGGATGATCGGCAGGCGAGTCATGCCGAGGCCCCTGCAGCTGATCTCTCTGTCAGCAGTCTGACACTCGCTGAGAGGAGACTCTGTAGAGCTGGAGAGGGTTTCTGTCTGATTGCTGGGAGCCTCAGTTGCCTCTTCTTCTTCTTCTTCTTCTTCTTCTTCTTCTTCTTCTTCTTCCTCTTCTTCCTCTTCCTCCTCCTCTTCTTCCTCTTCTTCCTCTTCCTGACACAGAAAATTAAAAACCATAATTACATGACAGAATGTGCATTCAAGGAATACTATTCCTTTAACTCAAATAGGTGACTCGATAAAGCAAAGCATGAACATTTCAAACCTCTTCCTCCTCCTCCTCTTCTTCATCATCAGTGTCATCATCATCATCGTCGTCATCATCATCATCATCATCATCTTCTTCTTGTGCTTTCCTTCTATCCATCAGCCGCCGCTTTTGAGCGTGAAGCTCCTTAAGTATAGCCATTAGACTGCTGTTCACCTCTCCTCTCCCTCGCTTCCTCCAGCCCATCAGGGGTTGCCCTAACCCTGCCTGCAGTAAGCAACAGGAAACCACAGACATGATTCCACAAAGAAGCAAATTAATATGTGACATGGGTAAAAAAAAAACCATCAAAAATGTGTATTTATTTATGCACAAATAAACATGTGTCATACTATTCTATATGCATTAGCCTCCACTGTGGCAGCGTGTTTCCTCCCCCAGGCACCTCTTCTTCTTCTACCAGCCTCCAGCTTCCTGACATCAACTCCTTGAAGCTCCCTCTCCTCCTCTGCCTCCATCTGGATGTGCTCATCCTCACTCTTCTCTACACAAATCATAAAGCGGAGCAGAGAAAGAGAATAAAAGTTTTTCGCTATTTACTCTGCTGCATACACTAAATAACGAAAAACTTTTCACACTGAGTTAGTTAGGATCGTGCAGACAGAAACAACATCATCTCACCAGGAGGGAGGGTCACACTGGAAGCATACGCATCCAACAAGGTCACTCCTGTATCAACTCCTGGTGGACGAACAGCTGCTGTTTCCAATTCAGGTGACTCAGATGAGGTTTCCACGTATGTATCCGTGCCATGCAAAGAGTTCAGGCTTTGTCCATGTAAAACTGTGCCACACAAACCAATGAGTACGATCCATGTCCTCCATATCTGCATGGTTTGCTGTTTACTTAGCTGAAGCTGCTTCATTTGGAGAGAGAAGTCCAAAACGTTTAGATCTTCAGGGCTGCAGTGAGGATGAAGCCAATCCACAGAAAGTGCAGACAGTAATGCCAAAGGGTAGAAACTCTGAGTAGCAATTAGGCTGAGAGTTTACACCAGAGGATTCATCACTATAAACACTTGTAGCTAAAGCTGTAGTGCAGTTTCTCCTTTGTGAGTCAGCCAAAAGCAGTACCAAACCATATTGCACATGCCCCCGACTCAGAGGAACTGCCGAAATGAGGAGAGAGCAGGAGGATGGGAGGAAATATCTAGAGACGGAGAGGTGAAAAAATAAACTCTCACGTTGTTAATAAGGGCCCTTGTTCGTCGCACCATGAAATACACAGACCCGCCCTGCTCCTCCTTGTCTCCTCATCCTTTCATAACTGTCTGCTAACATTAGGTGGAGGAGACGGCCAGAAGGCAAAAGATAGAATCTGGGACACAATAAGTTTCGTTCAACTGTGATAGATTCTGGTTGAGCATCATCGTGTGGGTTGACACATGAATTTGTGATCGACTGTCAGTTTTTTTTTTCTCCTGACTGAATCAGACTGACCTCGGGCCTCTTCCCAAACAAAACGGGGTTGGTAGACAGTTCAGGTCGGAGCCAATCTTGTTTGACCAAGCTCCACTAACAGCTATGTATGAAATCCAACACGACCTCTGAGACGTGAACAATGAGCCCGTCTTTACGTTCTGTACACACAATACTGTCTGTGAGCACATACGCTGTCATGCTTACACATGTAGTCCGGAGTGTGTACATCCTCTCACTCGCCGCTGAGCCAAGCAGGTGCCACCACTGGATGAGTGTTGAGCCAAACTGGGATTTTCACTGTGGGGTGAAACCTGCGGACAGTCTCTCTTTATTTGCTCAGTAACCACACATACACATACTAAATCTGTCGAACTGTGTGTGCGTGTTGTCATGTCCCAGACAACAGCTTCTGGGAACAACATCTGTAATATGATCAGATATTATTATATGAATGATGTTAAATTTCAGTATTAATTATCGGTTTTGTTTCTCTGCACCTGAAGCTCAGCTGATGACACAGAGACAACAGTAGAAACCAGACATATTCCAAATGGCACATTGGACAACTTGACAGTAAACAGTGAAACACTCAGTTCCTGATGTGCCCCTCCAAGGTAAATAACGATGTGCCCGAAGACTATTCATTTAAACCTTGACAGGAACATGTAGTAATCCACTGACCACACTCAACCCCTTCCTTAACCTCAGCCTGACAACACCCTGGATTAACAGTTTCCACTGCAGGAAATAGTGCAGAGGAGTCATCCAGTTTAACTGGTGTAAGACACAAGGGACTTTCACCATCTCTGCTGCAACGCTTTATCGTCCTTTCTCTGCCATCGCAGCACAACTTGTTTTCTCACTCAGCATACAGACGTCCTATACAGTCTGACAGACTGCCAGCTCTATAACATGTATGACAGGTATCTGTCAAAGCCCCATGTTGAAAACATTCTGTAGCAGCAAAACAAGACGAGGAGTCTACAGCCATGATAGCAGCTCTGTGAGACTTCAGTACAGTGATGCTTTGAGCTACATGCTCAGATCAGCATGCTAACATGCTCAGGTTTTGCAGGTATGTTTACCATGTTCACCATCTTGGTGTTGTCATGCTAAGACTTGGTAGCAAGCAGTAAAACACTAAGTGACAAGGCTCATGGAAAAAGTCTCGTTCTGCGAGTATTTGATCATAAGCTATATTGGACAAAATTGCTTTGACCTCATTGGGAACATTTCTCGTAAAATCATAAATAGCCTCAAGGTGGCACCGACATTTGATAAAAAGTCAGCACCAATGTCATCAGGACTCCTCTGGGGAAAATTTAGTATTTGTACCAAATTTCATGGTGTTACCTGTGAATGAGGGAGCTGAGCCGAAAGGCAAAGCTTTTGATTTACTGGTCCATCTACGTCCCAACCCTCACCTATAGTCATGAGCTCTGGTTAGTGACCGAAAGAATGAGATTGCGTATACAAGCGACCGAAATGAGTTTCCTCTGTGGGGTGGCTTGGCTCAACCTTAGAGATGGGATAAGGAGCTCGGACATCAGGTGGGAGCTTGGAGTAGAGCCGCTGCTTCTAGGCGTCAAAAGGGGTCAGTTGAGGTGGTTCGGGCATCTGATCAGGATGCCCCCTGGGCACGTCCCACTGGTAGGAGGCCCTGGGGCAGACCCAAAACACGCTGGAGGGATTACATACCTCATCTGGCCTGGAGGAGCTGGAAAGTGTTGCTGGGGAGAGGGATGTCTGGGGCACTTTGCTCAGCCTGCTGTCCCCATGACCCAGTCCCGGATAAGCGGATGAAAATGGATGGATGGATTCATGGAAATACCAAAAATGGCGTTGAATCATGAACGGCTGCACAAATGTGGTGCCAATCCATCCATTAGATGTTTTTTTCTTATCCATTTCACCTTTATTTAACCAGATAGGCCCTATTAAGATCACAAATATCTTCAGAGGCCAAGACAGTTAGCAGCACATTTAGACACTGGTGGTATTTCATTGGATAAGTGAAAACTATAACTTGCTAGTAGTGCTGGATGCAAAGTTGGGAGATCAGAGTCAGAGTCATTAGGATTTGTCCTTTGGGCACCATGATTAGCCGTCTAAAATTCCACTACAATGGATTTTTTTTTAGTCTTAAGTGGCAGCCATCTGACATTGTCTGCCCACAGAACCACACTGCTAGTGGGTAGGGATTTTTAAAAAAAAAAAAAAAAAAAAAAGTACAAAAGACAATGGCATAGGGTTAATTCTTTTTTATTCAGCACAACACAGACAGGATGACACCAGTGACCTGGAACGGCAGTAACATTGTGTGATGCCCACATGGACAGGAATGATTAGAGGAATGCTCAAACACTTCATAACTAAACTGGTTTAACTTCTCACACTGGGTCTGAACAAAGTGTTCTCTACCACAGCTAGGAATCAAAAGCTGTGACTGAACGCAACTACAAAACATCTAGGATATTAGATTCATGACAAACAGTAACAGTGCTTCTTAGAGAGAAGACATGAGGCATGGTTGTGAGGAATGATGGCTGGAATGCAGAGCACAAGTCGTGGCCTGGCAGTTCATCATAAATCAGAACCAGGGTGGCTGCTGGTATGAAGCGTCAACATAACCTCACTGACAGCAGTCAATGATGCTTTGTCTAAACCACTCTCAGGACACGACTTCGAAAACATGATAAATGATACAAGAGAATGATGTGTTCAAACCCATCGGGAGCAGAGGGTACTAGAGGGTGCAAATGGGGAAATAATATTAATACAACAGGTTGTGACAACACCGCACTCCTGTTCCCATCCCTCTCCATCTGTGGTAGTTAGAACAATACAGGGTTAGCACACTGCACTTGAGTCAAAGCCACAAGACGGCACCTGAGCACTGAAGTTAACAGGTCTTCACGTGATCATGCCATATAGCTGCAAGTTGGGCAGAAATTTGGTTGTGATCAAACAGCGTGACAAGCGGGAGATAATGTGCAGTTCTTAGTTTGCAAAGGTCTGACGCACGGCGTTGGCGATGTGCGTGGCGCTGATGCCGAACATGTCAAGCAACTCTTGGGGCTTGCCGCTGCGGGGAACACCGGACACTGCGAGCCGGGTCACAACGATGCCAGGCTCCTGGCCCACTGCTGACAGCACTGCTTCACCAAGACCACCTGGGAAGAGACAGACCATCAGCACAAAACACCAAAGGATGACATGACAATGCTCTTTTAAGCCTGGTATACACTGTGATTTTGGGCTGTGCCAGACAAATGACGATCGACATGAGAGAAACCTGTCAATATCTTTGGTCATGGCTCTAAAACGGTGGTCCTATATCACACGTGAGAGGTTCATGGAAGGCCAATGTCACGGTTTTGCACTCAAAGGCGGCCTGGGATAAAATTCTGACAGTGTCAGAAATTAGGGATGATCATCTCACTGTCTCTTATGTCGCACAGTGTAGCTACACTAAACTTAAAGACTGCTAAAACCACCACTAGGAAACACTTTTAAACTCACAACTGGGGGCAAACCAGTTAACACACAGTTAATGCAGTCATGGCCCCTGGTGTATCCTTTGCCAAGAATAAAAGTCTGCAAACTCTCAAACCTCTATTGTACATGACTTAAAAAAAAAACCAAACAAACACTGCAATAGGACATATAAGCACAACAGAAAACAACCCACCCTCCTTGTAGTGGTCCTCCACAGTGATAATCTGTCCCCGTGTGGCTCTGGCACTGGCCACGATGGTAGAGGCATCCAGGGGCTTGATGGTGAATGGGTCAATCACACGGATGTTCTTCCCTGTACGAATTCATTAGGAAATCATTACTTTTAGATGTTTTTTTTAAACCATAGTTGCTGACTGAGGAGCTGTTGACTCCCATCTCCTGAATTATCAAACATCAGTGGTGTATAGCAGTTATAAAATACAGGCCTCAGTACCTATATTCATCCACAAGAGGGCAGTGTGAGTTTACCTTCACTGGCCAGTGTATCAGCAGCAGCAAGGGCCTCATGCAGAGTGACACCAGCTCCAATCACAGTCACACAATCACTGTCAGACTGGCGCACCACCTGGGGAAGGGGACATTTATTCATATACATTCATTTTTGTAATGTCTATTCCAATCTTGTTTTTTTTTTAAATCTGAATGGTGCACAAGGATTAGCGTGTGTAAAAATCATTGTATTGATTATTACCTTGGCTACGCCTACTTCAAACTTCTCCTCTGGGGAGTAGAGGACTGCAGTGTCTGGTCTACTGGTACGGATGAAACAGATACCCTGAGAATACAGAGTCGAAACATGAGAATGTTACCCTCCCATCATTGTTAAGACAACTTACTGGACAAACTCTACCACAAGGTGGCCTACCAACCTTTGTGTTAGCTGACAGCTCAACAGCTCTCTCTGTGGACACAGCATCACTGGGGTAAAACACAGTACAGGTTGGGATAGCACGGAACATGGCCAAGTCCTCGAGGGCCATCTGGGAGGGACCATCCTCACCTGAAGGAAGAGTAAGATCAGTCAGGGGACGGAGAATGCTCACTCTGCACTGTAACTATAACTAGTGACACTTCAGCAGAAAGCTTACCAATGGAGACACCACAGTGGGAGCCTACCAGGTTGACATTTGTCTGGGAGATAGCTCCCATACGGATCTGGTCAT